CGAAAAGTCAACAACTATGAAAAATTTTCCCAGCGCCCCGAATCTCTCTCGAAAGGCAAATAAGACCCCCCGCCTCTTCCGACAACGAGCAAACACGACCCTCCCACATATACGTCCGTGAAACAAGAGAAATCAACTATCTACGGAATTTTCTCACACCAAATACGCCCCTTGGGGAGTCCCCAACGAGTGTCTTGTCTCGTCAAACGACCGCTTCCCCGTTGAACGGTGGCTTCCCATGAAAAATTGATGTAAGCCTGTTGGCTTCCCATGGAAAGTAATGCATGCCTGGTAAAATGTAAAAAAAAGAAAAATGTAAAAGGAAGCGCGATTGGAGCGCGGCTACAGCGTTTGAGCGCGACAACGAAATCGTTCTTTGTGCTTTCAACGCGGTTCCTGACCTATTACCTTGAACTCGTTCGCTAATCACTATTTGATAGCGATATAGTCGAAACGGAACTATTTTGTGAGCATCTATAGAATTCCTAAGCTATTTTTCCGTATTTTTTCAAAAGATTTTAACCCATTAATATAATTCGCTCAGCTGAAATCGTTCTCAGTTGCCATGGCAAAAGTCATTGGCCTCTCTGTGAAGCAAGGAATGTCGTGATTTACCTCAAAAGACACGTTTTTGTCGCAGCTCATAGAAGAAGAATTCACGAGTGGCCCTCCTTCTGAGGGCGGTATCGCTATTGAACTGACGAAATATCAATCGTGTGACAGATATTCGTGAAAACACATGAAGACCGCGTTCGTTACCTGCGTTACAAGAGAACCGGAGAATCAGCATAAAAGATTGGACAGGTTATCGATTGGTCTATGATCTTCTGATTCTCCACTTCTCGGATTTTTCAGTTGGGCGGAGTCAATCAAAATCTGTCTAGCCTTTTTCGCTGATTCTCTGATTCTCCAGCTCAATGCGCGCACTGTGCTCTTCGCGGATTTCTCGTAATCTGCAGTTTTTCGATACTTTAACGTACGAACGCATCCGAACAGTGTTCAGGTGCTGTCCATATCCGCGAAGAAGGACATAACCGTATTGATAAGGAGAATCCAAGAATAGTAAGTTTTCTGTTTTCGCAGACGAATCGTCAGTTATCTGACCTTTTGCAGACTAAGATTATTTCACGAGCTTCCCATGTGACTCAAATCTATGTCCTTCTTCAGATTCTCCCGGTTCCTGTCAGGCTAGTACTGAAATGAGCTCGACATAGTCCAGCGACCCTCGAGAACCGCCCAAATTAAGGAGAAATGGGACCCACGAGATCAGAAGAAAGCGTGAAAAAAAAGTTGGCAGAGTTCGCTCGTGCTTGGCAATTCGGCCGATCTGATCGCTCCAGCGATTTGGTGGCTCTTTTCGCGCCAAGCTAAGAGCGCGTTCAGACTACGCGATCGCGTGATCGAATCGCCCGCGATCCGATCGCCGCGATCCAAGCGATCCGATCGCGGCGATCGCGAGTCTGAACGCGCTCTAACGATCACTGCCAGAGCGCGATCAGAGGCATCCAATCGCAAAGCATAACACACCAATAGGCACCGGGTTCGACCGCTCCTCTCGTCTGCATCGAAGCCAGGGCCACATCATTGCCTTTGTGTATCATTTGACAGATAACAACCCCTTCTCCCTCCGCCTCCCTTCCTCCACCCCCTTTGGGACTACTCTCCTTCCATAAACTATTGAAAATTCTCGAAAAACTGCGCTTGAGCGGGCAGGGGCGGATCTTTCATCTAACTCAAGAGGCGATTCCATTAGACTCTCATCTATATATGCCAGGACTCACCTTAGATCAAAGTTTTTCGGTAATAGAGTTTGCTCAAGGTTCAATTACCTTTTGCGGAGCAATGTCTTACAGTTCAAATATCGAAGTTTTAAGCGACATGTGGGAGATTTTGTAGAGACTACGAATTAGTTGTAAATTGCTATATAGATGATTATACAAATGATGTTGTGTTCTGTTGCATTACCTGGTTTTAGTTTTATTTGCGTTGTAAGTTTTATTGTTGAATGTGCTCTGTCACGTCAACCGAATAAACAAACAAACAAAACAAACATATATGCCAAAATATATTCTCACTGCGACGACAGTCGAGGGTTGGAATGCTTCATACCTGAGATGGCAAAAGTAAGCAATCGAATGACGTTTTTGAGACCTCCGTTACGCTTTGCCCAGCGATGATGACCCTAGTTCAGAGAATGCCACCGACTCTCGCACGCCTCCCCCCCCCACCCCCACTCCCCGATTGATACGTTCCTGTTTTCATAGTTCTCAAATCTTCAGCGTCGTAGATAGCAAACAATGCTGTGAAGTCCAGTTATATAGATCGAACACGAGTGCGGACTAGTCTTGTGATATCTTCATTGTGGATCTTATCCCGTTCTGTCTTTGCTTACTCGAATTCCATACTAGCGAGAAGTATTTCAATCAATTTTTTCAGAATTTGAATGGTTTCCGAAAAGAGTAATGGATGCTCTTGTTAGCGGATTATCCAAAGCTACCACTTCCCCAAGAGCGAGTCGACGAACTCGTTCTGTCGTCTGTTGACTGGGCGCACGTGAGTTTGATGAGCCATTTTGTAAATTATCCTTTTTTTTTGCAAAGGACCAGAACGCTGGTTGGAACGTGCCTCAATAACTGTGCCGTACGCCTCAAAAACGCTGCCTACCATAGTATGAACGAACGAGACCTAACATGAGTGAAGTTTCAGATATATTTTTAGGGCCCATGGGCTGGTTATGAGAACAAAGGAACACAAGGACCGCAGCGATGTTTGCCAAAGTGCCCCTTTTGCTCTACTTCCAACACCGTTTCCTCGGAAACTCTTCGAGCAAGCCATTAATGTTCAAAATGTGAGTTTTCTACAAGCCATGTTTCAAAGTATTTTTCTTTCGAAATTCGCTGAATTTGCTTTCAATGCCATCTTTTAGTTGATGGCCACACTGTATCATGAAATCGCGTATGACTTCGAGTTTTTGATCGAATGCCACGAAGATGTCGTGAAAACTGATGCTTTCACTCGAGGCCTGGTGGACATTCTCAAGAAGGTTAGGGATGAAGGTGAATACCTCACAGGTTGTCGATATGATCATTCTTCCCTACTAAAATGCGATACTTCAAGGTCTGTTCACCAAAGGAAACGTTCCAGTCACTCCAACCGCTCAGATATATATGTGCCATAAAGATCCCTTCTCATGTGAATACCTTCTGAGACAGGTATGTTTAAGTATGTCCACAAAATCAGAAAATGAGCATACGGTAGCGAGGTGGTCAGACTCCCATTTCCACAGTGCTGCTTTCGTGTTTTGTGCAGCCTTTCCGCCCACCTTTGGTGATTTTTATATCAGAACAGGGTAGGCATTCTCAAAGCAGTGCAGTACTTCTTTGAGAGGTAGTTTATCCTCCGAAACAAGAAAACATACTCTCCGATTCTGGCGCTTGATAGGTCACTGCTGAAACTTCTTGGGAAAGCCTCTTCAGGTCAAGCGTATCATGGCTTTCTTCCGGTGGTCAAACCTGCTTGACTTTCAGTAAGATGCTCGCACTTGGGGAGTGGACCATCATATTTTGTGTTGTGGATGTTCTACCGTTTCCAGGCTGCTTCATGCCTTTGTGTTGTCAGTCACTGACTTCCCGAGTAGATCCACTTTCGAAATATGTGACCACCGTTCTCATCTCTCTTTCTTCTACGCCCAGATCATTAGGAGTTCATAGGTATTAGTAGCTGAACAGGAATCGTATTTTCCCCGCGACAACGACAAGCAGCGACGGGACGGTCCTCTGGGTACTGCCAATGTCAAGACAGTTCTAGAAAGCTCACCTTTCTGGACTGCTAGATAAGGAACAGACATTCTTAGCTGACGTCATTATGGGGTAATTTGGAATGCTCACATTGGTCATCCAGGAATGATGCGAGGGCATGCTATGGCTCTCCTGAACCACAAAAACGACGAGCGACAAATGCCATCGCTCGCCATCAGCTACGGAAGGTGCACCACCCGCCGTATCTTCCTGACATGACTCCTTCCAGTTCCCTCCATTTCCGATTCCTCATAAATGTTAAGCAACTTCAGAAGTCTTAGCGACGTCAGATCGACTATGGGCAAATTCTTTAAGGCGAAGTCCGCCAAAGTGTGGGAGAGAGGTGCTCAGGCGCCTCCAGGGAGACGGAGAAATCAGCTCATACCTCAGCTACACTGTAGATCAGTGGTTAATGACTAGTAAAAGATTATGGAATGATGTCAAGTGCCTCTTAATTTCTGGATAATCTATTGATAGATTCTTTACTACAACAAAATTTCGATTGCAGATCGAGGTAAACAACATCGCATCCAGTATGGGAGCTCATGCAGAGAGGGTAAGTTCATCTTATTTCCAGTACCCTGCCATCACCGTGCTTTTTTCAGGTAACGAAAATGCATCGGCGGACAATGGCTGAACTCGGTTATGACAA